CCCGATTTTCAGAAGAATGGAATCTAATTCAATCTTCCAGCAATGTGTAGAATATATGAGATGAAAAGCTGAATAAAGGTCTTATTGATTCACGGCAAATCATGCACTCGAAATCCAATTTGAAAGTAAATTTTTTGGGGGAGTTTTTTATGTACAGTAGCGTATATGTTACCAAAATTTATTTTCAAAGCACTCAGTGTCATAATTTCTTATGTAAACTCAGTAAATCTGCTAAGTTTAAGTTAGTTAGGTATGTGCAGTTAGTGCAACAGTTTGTGCCTCGGAACATGAGGAGACGAGTTCGAATTTCGGTCGAGTTTGATACATTCACTTACGCATAAAGACACATAAATCCACCTCTTTTCCCCCAAACTTAACTATGGGTTAAATAGTAGACGTAAATGGTAACCTGGGCTCTGTAGCTGTGGTTGGTAATCAGTAGAGGCGAAGGACAACTCTGAATTCAAATCTCAGCCGCTATGAAGCTGTACAGAAGAGCATTAAATACGCAATGCATTATGCAACATAAAAATGAAATAGATTTAAACAACTATGGATCCTCCCTAAATAACGCAGAATATTGTTGACACCCCAGGGAAGGAGGATAGATGGCTGGAATTGTTAATTCGTATTTGTTTCACAAGCATTTTTGTTCAATTTTATGTGACTTTTTCCCCCGAGAAACGGAACACGCCGTGTAACTTAAAAGATTAATAGAATAGTCAGAGTCTACATTTTGCTGAGTCCTTTCTCCAAACTATTGCTAAATAGAATAATAATGACCATCTTTTCAACAATGTTTCCACACACACACACACGCACAAACACACACACACATATATATATATATATATTGAATTCAGAGTTGTCCTTCTCCTAGGCCAGTTGCCATCCAAGGCTATAGAACCCAGTCTGTCCTGCTATTTTACCCATAGCTGGAGGGTTTCTTGGGCACCTTGTGGCACTGAGTGCACCAGGTCTCTGTATTCGTCCCTTCAAAAAGTGTGGATGGTCCTGCACGAAGCCTTCACCATTATAATCAAATCTCATGTGCTGTTGTCGGGCTATCGGTTTCCTGGAAACTGATCTGCTTGACCCTCATACGTCGAATTCGACGGGAGAGTCGACTATATATATATATATATATATATATATATATATATATGGAAGCTCGGTGGAGTAGTGGATAGAGGAATCGGAGAGGCGAGTTCAAATTCCGGTTCGAATCCATTAAATTCACTTACGTGCTAATACCCTTGGGACAGGTATGGAGCCTTGGTTGGCAACTGGTCTAGGAGAAGGATAACTCTAAATACAAAAATTTCCAGAGGGTCATTTGGCGAACTTGTGGCTCGTGCTGCAGAAGGCCTCTGTATTCGGCTCCTTAAAAAGTGTGGTAGGTTCTAGAAACAATTGCTTGATACGTCGAATACGACGGTGTGGGGTGTCCAGAATATATATTTATATGTATATGGGTTGTTGGATCCTTATACCTCGAAATCGACGGGATGTGTGTGTATGTGTAGACTATATATATATATATATATATATATATATATATATATATATATATATATATACAGGGTCGAGCTAGTATTTGAGGACATACAGATTTAAGATTAATACTGCTTCCCACTAACCTCTAATGCTTTTTTTTCAGAAATCAAGAGTGACAAACGCTATCATAACAAATAAAATGAAAAGGCATGCTGTGATTGTGGCTGATCGTCGCGATTTGCATATTGCACGTTTCCTCAGAGTTGCATGATCGTTTGTCCACAAAATACGAAAATAGTTAGAAGACGCTGACAGTTCCCCAATGTCTGTATCAAAACATAAAATACATTCTGCACGTTCTGATAAAATGAGAACACGCGAATTTATTCAGGGAGTCAAGCAGACAATTGATGAAAACCAAGATCAATGAATGAGGTCAATTGTCAAAACCTGCATGTATCTGAAAAAACAATCAGAAGGAGTGTTCATGAGGACATTCGATACAAGTCCTACGTGATGAAGAGAGGTCAATTTATGTCTGAAAAAACCCCAAAAGAAAACTGTTTAAACAGACCCAAAAGGCTTTTAAACAAACTTAAAATTCCTTCAGAAGCTGGTGTGGTCTTTTTTTCTCAGATGAGAAAAAATTTGATCAAGATCAAAAACTTACCAAAAGAAATGACAGATGGCTTTGTTCAGATCCTTCTGAGGTGCCAAGATTGATGCGCCCAAAATTTCCTTCAAGTGTTATGATATTGGGTGTTGTTAGCAATGAAGGACATGTAATGCCACCGCACTTTTTCCCCACAAGGTCTTAGAGTAAATGCTGCTGCTTACATTGAGGTTCTAGAAACAGTTGTCAAGCCCTGGATTGACAACATATGCAACTGCAGGCCTTAAATATTCCAGCAAGACTCGACTTTATCCCACAAGGCTCTACGAACACAAGAATGGATGGCTGACCATTTGTATGACGACATCACACCCACCATTTGGCCTCCTAACTCTCCAGATCTTAATCTATTATGTGTGGAGCTTTGTTGAGAAGGAGGTTAATAAACAGCCTCATAACACCAAAGACTCTCTGAAAGCTGAAATAGTTCAAGTAATGTCTGACATAAATAAGGACCAATTAATCAGAGTTTGCAACCGATTTTGACCTCGTGTAGAGGCAGTTATTGATGCTAGTGGTGGTTTTATCGAATAAAATTAAATAATTGTTAGCTAAATTTCATGTTTACTTGTTTGTAATCAAATATAATTATATTCATTTTTTCAGCAATTTTTTTTACTAATCTATAAAATCTGTCCTCAAACACCAGACGCCCACTGTATATGTATTCAAGCCACCACGGAACACATATAGCCTGAAGGTTTCCACTCAGTATTGACTTCAGTATCCCCATTTATATATGCACAAGCTCTACATGTGATATTGGACACTTTTACTTATAAAGATAGTGTTGTAACCTAGGGGAGGTTACTGAATAAAATAATTACACGAATGTTGGTAAGGAACGATTCGTAAGCATGCAAAAAATAAACGTAACACTGCCCAGTAATCCGGATAGGGATCACTTGGACGCCACACTAATTTCCATATATACGTTTCCTTTAACATCACGTGATCTACTTATTCAAAATGAGATCGTCTGTTTTTATCGTCAGCGACACTTTATTCCTATATAACGATAACCTACTTAATGCACTTGACTGAATAAATGGCAGGATATGGACAAAACTACATGGTAAAGTGCAACATTGCTTAGAGCTACAAATTTAGGATGTTGTGGAGAGATATATGAAAATAGGCTGTGAAAATAGGCATCATTCAAAAGACGACAAATCCATAAGTAGAGTTATAAACAGGTAGACAACAAGATACATTTCATCGACGAAGGTATAGGGAAAACTTTTGATCTATTAGGGTAAATAAAATAATTATTGGTATTTTGTCATTTATATATTTTTAGTTTTAGTTATAATTAAATTTCCCTTTATAAAACAACATCCAGGGAAGAAAATGTTTCATTTTCATCCTTATTTTACTTTTACTGAAAATAAGAAACGTTTAAAATTAACAATCTACAGACGAATTATATGGAAAGGTGCGTCGAAATATCACTTTTCAGTATATGTTTATATGTCAAGGGTGAAAGAAAGTCACATGCTGAATCGTTGCCATAAATTGTTTCAATTAAGTATAATATTCTATTTATTCAAGACTAGTATATTGCAGCAATATAAACAGGCGTAATAGAAGAATATTGATGACAAAAAAGAGGTGGACTTCGACGCGGTGAAATGGTCAGCAAAATTACGAGTGAATATTGACTTTAATCCTTCTTGCGTGACACAATCTTTCGACATTGTGCCACATCTAATCTATGCTTAAAAATCATTTGTGAGCACTTCGATGTGGTGTAAGGGTTAGCAAAGTTGTCTGATCAGATCAATTACGACTGAATTGTGAGTTAAATCCTCGATGCGTGCCCCACTATTTTCGGCCTTTTGTTATATCTAAGCTACGGTTAGAAAATCATAAGCATATGCAAGATTGTTTTGCTAGATCAATTACGACTGAATAGTGTGTTAGATTTACACGGAGTGACCCACCCTTTAAACCTTGCGCCATATTTATACGACGCTTAGAATATCATCTTTAGGCACTGCGACGGGCTCTAATGGCAAGTATCGTTGTCTTACTAGATCAATTAGGACTTCATAGTGATTTGAATCCTCACTGAGTGCCCCATTCTTTAAACCTTGCACCATATTATAACTACGCCTAGAAAACCATCTTTGGGCACTGTGACGGGCTGTAATGTCAAGCCATGATGTCTTGCTAGATCAATTAGGACTGAATAGTGAGTTTGATCCTCACTGAGTGCTCCACTCTGTAAACCTTGTGCCACATCGAAGCTACAATCATTTGAGCATCTCGATCTAGTGTAATGGTTAAGAACTTGGTCTCTCTAGATATATTACAACTGAATTTTGAGTTAGATTCTCACTGGGTGCCCCACTCTTTCGGCCTTGTGTCACATCTACTCTATGTTAAAAATCATTTGTGAACACTTTGACGCGGTGCAAAAGTTAGCAAGTTTGTCTCGCTTGATTAACTGTATAGTGAGTTAAATTCTCAATCCGTGCCCCATTCTTTCAACCTAGTGCCACATTTAAGTTACGTTTTGAATATCATTTTTGAGCACTCCGACGTAGTGTGAGGCTTATCGAGGTTGTGTCGCTATATCAATTACGATTGATTAATGAGTTCGATTCTTACTGAGTGTCCCGTACTTTTCGGCCTTGTGTCACGTCTAAGCCTCGTTTTGAAAACTACCATGAAAAAGTGAGCGTGACAAAACCATATTTGCAGTATACTTCGAGTTTAAATTCGTTAACACTGGTTAGTGGTGTGATATGATATTGCATGGCTTTGATTTTTGTAAACAATACAAAAGTTTGGTTTTGATTTACGGAGTGAAGCTTGACTAATAATGTTATAGCAAGCGGAAAAATTCGAGAAGAAAAAAAAATTCGAGAAGAAAACAGAAGAAAGAAGAAAAACGGAAAAGAAAGAGGAAAAAGGAAAAGAAATGAAGAGAAGGAAGAAGAAGAAAACCGGAAAAAAGAAGACAAAGAAAAAGAAAGGCAAGAAAAGAAGAGGGGAGAGGAGGAGAAAATCGGAAAAATAAGAGGGGAAAAGGAAAAGAAAGGCAGGGAGAGAAAAAAAGAGAGGAGAGCAAAAGCGGATAAAAGGTGAAAGGAAAAGAAAGCCGGAGAGATAAGAGGAGAAAGGAGAAGAAAAAACCGAAAAAAGAAGAGGAAAAATGAAAAGAAATGAAAGAAGAGAAGAGGAGGAAGAAGAAGAAAAGCGGAAAAGGAAGAGGAGAAAGGAAAAGAAAGACAAGAAGAGAAGAGGGGAGAGAAGAAGAAAATCGGAAAAAGAAGAGGAAAAAGGATAAGAAATGAAGGAAGAGAAGAGGAGGAAGAAGAAGAAAAGCGGAAAAGGAAGAGGAGAAAGGAAAAGAAAGAGGAGAAAGTAAAAGGAAAGGTGTAAAAGAAGAGGAAAAAGAAAAGACACCCTCAGGGATATTTTTTTTAATAAATACTGAATTTAGTTTTCAGGTTAGAGAAGCACGTTTTGCTAATATTTGCCGCTGCTTGACTGAACGTAATGCTTCTCTTCTTGTCGCCTCGGAATTAAACAAAACGTCAGTCGAGCGTAGAACTCTTCTTTCAAATTTTATATTCAAGTTTCCTTTCTCATTACGCACTGCGTTGATGGAAAAGAGGAAACAACGCGTCGAGAAAGTTCTCCATTCGCAGCTGTGATGGAAAAATTCAAAATGGAAAAAAATATTATGTTAAATGTTATGAAAAAATACGAATAAATTACATAAAATGGAGAACGAGATACCCAGAGGATAGTTTAAATTATTCATTTCATTATTGACATTTTTTTCGAGCATTATTAAGAAAATAATAACGGAGAAGACGAAGAAACTTGTGACAACGAAATCCGAAAGGCGGAATCTAAATAACGAAAGATGCCTTCCAAAAGATAAGCAAAGTATTAAGAAACAGAATCATTTCGTTAGAAACATAAAAAAGATTATTAAACCGTTATGTAATATTAGTACTCATCTATGGTAGTGTAAGTGGAACAATGTCCTCAGAGATGAAGAAGAGATTTTAAGCAACGGAAATGTGGTTCTAGAGAAAGATGTTGCAAGTAACGTGAACTTAACGATGAGGATTTAAGTGAAATCGAAAAAAGAGGACGCTTCTACTTAGAATAAAAAAGAGACAGGTAAAATTTCTAAATAGTGAGGAAAGATAGTTTAGAGAATATGACACTCATAGGGCATACTGAAGATAAGAGGGACAGAGGAAATTAATGGGTAACCTATTTAACGTGCTCGTGTAAAATGGATGACAGAACAGGGATTTTGACAGTGAGCGAAATAAAAGTTTCAGTTCGACATTACAACTACCTGAAGAAAGCCGGGGCGTACAACGGCCGAAGCGTTGTAATAAATATGGCGACAAAGATGAGGACAATAGTTCGAATAATGTAAATAGTGTACATAATACCTCATCTCAGAAATGTAGACAGATATTTTTTCCTTATATCTGAAATTTTTACACACCCACACACACAGACACACACACACAGACACACACACACACACACACATATATATATATATTTAGAAAAATAGTATAACAAATGTAAAAAGTTTTTGCGACACGTTTCTTCCGTCAGGATTTCATTGGACTGGGCTTTGTTGATGCTGTCACGTGTACACATGTGCACAAAACGTGAGACGTTTTTTAGTTTCAGAGGGGAAGAACTGGTTGGTGACCTTCAATTCTTGAAAAACCAAAATATTGAGCTGGTGCATAATTATCAAGCGTTTATGCAGGCGAGTTATTTCTTAATAAAAATTGCTGTTTTGTTTACTTTTTTTTTTAATGGAAATATTATTTAATTTTCATATTATAAAAATGCGTAGTGATAATCATACTGATTCAAAAATGTTATTGTTGAATTGTTATGTGTCTATTTTATAATAATAAATATTATATACAAACGCCTGATAATTATGCACCAACCTAATAAATACATTCTATCATTGCCGATCGGACCTTCTACTATCATCAATAAAATCAATATATCGCATCCATTTTGTGCGAGACCGCTTGCAATACGCGTTACTGTTGACGTGGCGCTAGACTATTTCAAATTTCCAGCTTCACAAAGAATACCAGGATGTAGACAAAGAAATTCGAACTAAGACCCAAACACCACATTGGTTCTTGGTAATGACTGCTATGGTCGGAAGTACAATATGAACTTTGGACAGTTTAAGCACAGCGTCGAGCACAATACTCAGCACCTTATTCGAAAATCGGAAAAATATAATAAAAAAATTAAACAAAATGACCTTATCGATTCATTTTGATCAACCTTGGGTGAATACTTGGCACACGAATATGCATTATTCTCTTATATATATATATATATATATATATATATATATATATATATATATATATATATAAATAAATTAATTGATTTAAAATATGTTTTTTTCGCTACACAGTTCTAACCATGTTTCAAAAAATGGAAGCTAAAAGCCACGAATTTAATTTTGTGATTAAATTAAAGACATTAGTTCCATTTCATCCTCAAGCGAATTTTGGAGTAACTTTTAAAATTACTGGGTTTAAATACACAGCTAAAACAAAATTCATGTTTCGAAGGTTACAGATAAATCTATTTTTTCTAGACAGGGGTGGCTGGGTTTTCAAAAAATTTTTTGTAAAATAAAAATATCTATAAGAACATCGGATTATATATCTTGCTGTTCTTTCTTTATATATATATATATATATATATATATATATATATAATGTGGTTACAATATGATGGACTCTCCCGTCGAATTCGACGTATGAGTGTCAACCAGCTCAGTTTCTAGGAACCGACAGCACAGACACCAGCATATATGTATATATGATTTGATTATAGTAGTGGAGGCTTTGTGTAGAACCAACCACCCATTTTTTGGGGGCGGGGGGCGAATACAGAGACCTGGTGCACTATGTACCACCAGGTCCTCCGCAGGTTTTGAATTCAGGGTTGTCCTTCTTCTACACTAGTTGTCATCAAAGGTTATACATCCCAGTCGGTCCTGCTATTTTACCCATAGCTGGAGGGAGACGAAGAGGATTTATACCTTTCCCAAGAGTAATAGCACGTAAGTGAATGTAATAGATTCGACTGGAATTCGAACTCGGCTCTTCGATTCTTCAATCCGAACTGCTATCCACTCCTCCATCGTATATACGCATGAATGCATGTATAGATAGATATACCGTAAATGATGACAATATGTCGAACCACTATATTACACTAATTCTATTTCAACAGAACATTTTCAGGGAAAATCATTTAGTTTGGTCTGATTTGTTTTGTTTTACGGCATATCAACCTCAATGGGTCAGTTAAGGTCGTCAGATTTAATTCTTCGTAAACCAAACTAGTGGCATCCCACCATCGCCGATCCGACCGAAAACTTTCACCAATCGTGATGAAAGGATGCTCCCAGGACGATACACCGTACTTGGAGCGTGCCTTAGAACTTAAATTCAACCCAGACCTCAAGTAGAACTTATACAATCCATCATGCAATCCATCGCTAAAGCTGATAGAAAAATGGTTGCTATCTTGTACCGCTCCAGTAATAGCTAACTCCACCTGCTATCGTCTGCTTTTACAAGCGCCAGATCAGGCCGAAAATAGATTACCACTGCCATATATGGATACTATCCATTCCACTATCGATAGAATCCAAATGCATGCCTGTGTCCTTGTGGGTGACGAATTATTTCCATCCTATATCTCTTTTCCTACAGACGGTACATCGCAAGCCTCTTGCTCCACTATCGCTATTTTTGTGGGAAGTGTTCAGATGAATTACACCCCTAATCTTCACAGGTAAGACTCGTCATGCTAGGCACACTGGAGCAAACCACCACCCTTTTCTTCATATTCCATTGGCGAGGTGTAAGTTCCACTTGAACAGTTTCATCCCACGAACCACTGCCTTGTGGAACCGTCTATCAGGTGGATGGTTTCCCGGTCATTACAGTCTTAACCTGTTCAAGTCTTGGGTTAACCGTTTTCTTCCACACATAACCCTATTATATCTGACTCATACTCTATAATCCTCTACCTCGCACTGTTTAAAGTAACATGGTACTACTATAATTTTGTTCACTAATACCTTGATTAAAGGTTGACGGCATATATTTGAGTATGCCTTATTTCTATGGTAGGGATCCAACCCCTATGAAATCCAATAAATAAATAGTGTTTAATATCTTTTGTTGTAAATTTTCAAGAACATATTTAGGTTTTATTCCAATCTTAATCATGACGTTTTAAAACAACAAACACTACCGATGCGTGAAGGTAATCAAAATAGACAGTGTTAAATAAAAAAAATTCTTTTGACACTACGTCTTTTGGGGAGCAAGTTTGGCCATGTTTGCTAATTTTTCCTTATTATCTGTGAATTAACATGATTTCTTGCGAAAAAACATTCCCGTTGTCTTCTACACGTTTTTCAATTCAGAACTGTCTTTCTTATAGAATCGTCTCATCTGCTATTTAACCCATAGCTGAGGGGAGAAGAGTTGGAGTCATGTCTTTCTCAAGGTCAGTAGTATGGAAGTGAACGGAGCAGATAAGGACTGAAAGAGAACTCGTCATGACGACTGCAATTTCCCACGTCAATTTCAGCACTGTTATTCGTTTAATCCATTTTTATCAATCTGTTAATGCTGCCGTTTTAGGTTTATCTCTTGGTTTTTATATTAATACCTCTACTCCTATTTCCCGTTGTTCGATCAGGGAATTTTTGTTCCTAGCCCGGGTGTAAGCGCTCGGGTTTCCCACATTAAACTGACCTTATGTCACAATGCGACTTCGGGGCAGGGTGCGAGTAAATACTAGAGATAAGGCTTTTTAATCTCATAATACGTGTGACAATTGAGCTCCAATTTCGTATTTATTCATATAAATTCCACAATATAGGTTTTACTTAATTACCTATTAATTATAGTGCGGCTTTTAATCTCACTTAAAATTTTAAGCTAGTTCCAATTTTGGATACAAAAAGAAACTGAGTTACTCTCTTTGAACCATGAACGCAACGATAATGGCTAGTATAATATATTAATATATATTTTTAACCTCACATAATCTGGCAACCCTAAATATGAGCTATACGAAAATCGTTCCCTACTGTTTTCTAGGGATTTTGAATGAGCTATGAAACATTGAAATCAGACCAGTGGGAGCGGAGGAGTTTCTTGGATACATACACACACAAACGCAGACACTGTACTTTATATATATATATGTATATATAGTAACCATGAATATTGGCCACTTCTGTGCACAAAAAATCTTCACATACTTTAGAATTACCATTTCAAGAACTGCATTTGTAATCATAGCGCAGAAATAAATTTCTCTTTCTATTGGTAATAATCTTGTTTTACAGATTTTTTCGATGGTAATAAGTATATCTTAGGAAGTCTACATAACATGTTTAATATGTTTTTGCTGCAATAAAAATCTGTTTTCTTTCTATCTGTAAATTGTCACCAATGATATGATTATTAATCCTTGTCACCCATTGCTTGGGTATATTTTTCTCATAAGCGCCGGTAATCGATATTACATCGTCGAAAATGTTGAACATTTTTATATCACAGCATGCAACGGGTGCCATGCGTATTAGAATATTGAATAAATACAATATTTCTCTTCTTTAGATCAGAAGCTAAGAAACGTCGAGCCTCGTGAATACGTAGAGAGATGACAGCTTGGGAATACCAGCTGTTGTACGCGTGGATGTGCGCTTGGTGTAATGGATAATGACTCGGAATTCTTAATCGGAGAGCCGAGTTCCAATCTCTTTTGGGTTCGTTATATTTATTTACGCGCAAATACCCCTGGGAAAGGTATGAAACTACCACTTCTCTCCTTACTATGGGTTAATTAGTAAAACTTGTATCACTAAAACATTATTATCTGAAACAAAAAATACTTATAATCTAAAAATATTTTCTGCCTTTAAATAACCAGCAGAGTGTTGATAAGCCGTCACTAACGAATCGACAAATGAATAGTTAAATATGGCAAATATGATTACAATTCATTATTTTAATTAGTAACATATGCGTTGTGATGTAACGGATAACGTCTCGAAATTTGAAATCGGAGTGTCGAGTTCGAATTCCAGTTCGTTATATTCAGTTACCTGTAAACCGTAGAAAACGAATCAAACAACGATTTTTAATCACTCATATCCAGCCACTTTTAGTAAGTTTAAACACAAAATATAGTGTAAATTATACGATGGTAACAGGAGTAACCTTGTAGCCACCTGATCCAAAAGTATTAAGATATATTCAGCTCCATGTTTGATTTGATTCCAGGCTGTGAGATACAGGTCTAACTACTAAGCTTGTAGAATCTAATGATCTAGAGTGTTTTCATTAGAATTATAGCCACGATTATTTTCACTTGCAAGATCGTGTCTGATCGTAGAGTAGTTGTGTGGCTGAACACCTGACCATGTCCCTCCATATCTGGGTTGAATAACTGAAAAATAAAAACAAATATATTGTAGATATTGTAATTTTATCTTTTATTTTAGAAAAATACAAAAATATTAAAGCCTTAAACTTTTTAAAGACGTTTCTTTCAAGAAATCCAAGGTGACCTAAAACGTTTTGCCTCTAATGTATATCCAACAATGCTGATAGCAATCAATAGTAACCTAACAAAAATGAAAACTTTAAAAGGAAATATTTTCCTTCATAATTACTGATTAATTGAGGCCATTAGAAATTTATCTGCAAAATGCACGCAAATACACTGCAGTTACAATAATTTAATCTAAAAATTAATACAAAAATATCTCATTTTAAAGTCAAGAAATGCATGGTGACTCAAACGTTTTGCAAAATTTTGATGGGGAACAATCGTAACCTAACAAAGTAGAAAACTTTAAAGGGAACATTTTAAGCATTTCACCCCAAACAAGGCGGAAGTGCCACTACCACACAAGGGGTAGCAGAGAATGAGAGCAAGACTAAAGACGGGTGTTTGAGGAAAGGATAAAGAGAAGGGCGGGGATCAAGACTAAGGCATCATAAGATGTCATTTAACATTACATTTGGATATTTGAAAATTAGAATTGCCAGAGAAGCGTGTAAGCGGAAGGGAGTTACGGTGTCGAGAAGTGCAAGAGTTAAAGTGGAAGAGGCGGTTACATTTAGCTATGTCGACAGTAAAAGTGTCGGACCTGGATGCCAACATAGTAGCACGCTTAAATTCATGCAGCTGGGACACCAGTGAAAGAAGCCCATCAGAGCAGTTACTATAAAAATATCTATAGAAAAAACAGAGAGAAGCTACGTCACGTCTGTGAGAAAGCGACTGCAGACGAGATGCCAGATCAGGACCTATCACATTGCATATCCGTTTCTGTTTTTTTTTTTTTCAATAACCTCGAGATGAACAGCGGGAACACTAGACCATATATGACAACAGTATTCAATGCAAAGCCATTTATCTGCTTTCTCCACAGAAATTTGATCGTATGCGTCTCCAACAGTTTTTGTTTATATGTTAGATGCTAGATCTTCCAAAGCATTCTTCAAGCACTGATAAAGCTCACTCTCACTCTTTGGGTATTCTCTTTGAACTATCCTATCCAATTCACCACATAATAATTATGAGAAAGAGATAACTGGGAGGAAGTATGTTAGCATAATTCTTCTGGCTAAATCTAGTCATTTTAACTGTAAAATATCATACATTGTCTTGGAAATGTACCACTGCCTTTAAATTCGTAAAGTCTGGTTATCAGAGAGAGAGGGTGACAGAGAGAGTGATAGAGAGAGTGACAGAGTGGGAAGAGAGACAGAGGAAAGAATAAAGAGAGAGAGAGAGAAAAGAGAGAAAGCGTGAGAGAGAAGAGAGAAAGAGAAGGGAAAGTCAGAGAAGAGAGAGGGAGAAAAAGAGAGAGAATGGGAGAGAAGAGAGAGAGGGAGAAGAGAATGAAAGAAAGCAAAGAAAGAGAGAAGGAGAGAGAACAGAGAGAAAGAGGGGAGAAGAAGAGATAGAAAAGAGAAAGAGAGATAGAAGAGAAAGAGAGAGAAGAGAGATGTAGACGAGAAAGCGAGAGAGAGATAGCGCGTGAAGAGAGACAGAGAAGCAGAGGAAGTGAAGAGAGAAATAGAGAAAAGAAAAAGAGAGAGAACGGAGATAAAGTGAAGAGAGAAGGGCGGACAGAGAGAAAGAGAGAATGAGAAAGAGAAGGGAGTAGCACGGAGAGAGACAAGAAAGAGGAGAAAAAACAGAGAGAAAAGGTGAAAAAGTAAGAGAGAGAGAGAGAAAAAACGAGAGAAGAGAAGGAAGAGAGAGAGAGAGAGATATGGGAATAAGAGAGAGAAGAGAGAGAGAGAGCGAGAGAGGAGAGAGCGAGAGAGGAGAGAGCGAGAGAGGAGAGAGAATTATACAGAGGGAGACGGAAAGAGAGGGAGAGAGTTCTAATATCCATAATATTTGGATGCGGAAAATAGACAGAATTCAAAATTTATTGTCTCTTATTACGGTGATTAACGTTGTGTTGAAAATGCTAGGTTTCATTTACGGCAAATTTACGGCAAATTCCATTTCAATGAATTCCGCCCATTTCGCTTGCAATTCTGGATTCCAATATCCTTAAAAAACAAAACAAAAAAAAAAAAAAATAACACAATAGCAGCGGCAATATTTTTCAGTTAAATATCAATCAAGTAATCATGAATGAGTTGATACTTTGTTTACAAATTTGCAAAGGGAGCTAACACATTTGTAACATCCTAATGCTTTTCAACTCAATTACTGGGGATAGCAAAATCAAGCACGTACAATCATTTAAATATCTGGGAAGTGTTTTAACAAAGAGAAAATTGCGAAACGGAAATCGTAGTGACATAACGAAAGATATCTCCCAAAAGCTGTGCAAAGTTTTAAGAAACATAGAAATTTAATTAGAAACAAACAAATGAATACTAAAAACTGTTCGCGTAGAAGGTTATGAATTTTAAACAATCTCATTATAGATGACGAAAAGACTTGAAGCAGCAGAAATGTGTGTCTACAAATGGATGCTAAGAATCCCATGGAGCAAACATGTGAGCAACGACGAAGTTTTAGAGAAACAAAAAGGACATCATGTTGAAATTTCTAGGGCTTATAATGAGGAAAAGAGTCTTGTAAAATTTGACAGGTTAAAGAACAGAGGAAAGCAAAACATCACCTACCTGACGAGCTTGATTAAATTGATGACGGAAAAAAGGTTTAAAAGAAATAAAAAAGACAAGATTTATTAAGAGTTACAGAGGGCAAGAGAACCATGATCGCCAACCTCATGAAGAAGTAGAGATACTGAAAAGATTAACCATGTTTATACACGAGAATATGTTTTGTTTTTTTTTTAATGAGAGAAGCCCATAGGTCTTGGCGAGGACAGTCACACTTTTTTAACATACTCACCTCTTTTAGAATGCGTGGGTAGTGTAACGGATATCGGCGCGGGAAGTGAAGTTTGCTAGGCGAGTTCAACTTCTGGATTAGTAGTATGTTAGGTCTTGGAGAAAGTAGAAATTCCATAGAAAGTAGAAACAAAAAAGACACTTATACTTAACTTGAGAAGAAATTTCTAGGTTTTATATTGAAGAAAGTGGGCTTGGAAAGTCTGACACTCACATGACATATTGAAGGCAAGAGAGAGAGAAGGGAAAATAGGATATAACGTACTTAGCGAGCGTGTGTAAATAATGGTAGAGGAGACTTTAGGAGAGACAATAAATACACAACATTTAAAAAGAGAATTAAAAAGAAGAGGAACTTGTGTCAAGTGCTTAAAGCACAAAGAAAATTATTAATGCTATTTGTTTCTTTCTTCTTCTTCTTCAAATTCTTTGAATTCTTCTTCTTCGAATTATTCTTCTCCTTCTTCGAATTCTTCTTCTTCTTCCTTTTCTTCTTCGCAATCTTCTTTTTCTACGAATTCTTATTCTTCCAATTCATCTTCTTTTTCGAATTCTCCTTCTTCTTCGTATTCTTCGTCTTCCTCTTTGAATTCTTCTTATTCGTCGAATTCTTCCTCTTCAAATTCATGGAATTCTTTTTCTTTTTCTTCCTTTTCGAATTCTTTTGCTTCTTCAATTTTTTTTATTTGTCGAATTTTTCTTTCTCTTCTTCAAATTCTTTTTCTTCTTCAAATTCTTTTTCTTCTTCAAATACTTCTTATTCGTCGAAATCTTTTTTTTATTCGTCGAATTCTTCTTCTTCATCAAATTCTTCGAATTCCTTTTCTTCTTCTTCTTCAAATTCTTCGAATTCTTTTTTCTTCTTCTTCTTCTTTGAATTCTTCTTATTCAAATTCTTTTTTGTCGACTTCTTCTTCTTCAAATTCTCCGAATTCTATTTCTTCTTCTTCTTCGAATTATTTTTCTTCTTCTTCCTCTTCGAATTCTTTTTCTTCAAATTCTTCTTATTCGTCGAATTCTTTTTCTTCTTTGTCAAATTCTTCGAATTCCTTTTCTTCTTCTTATTCTTCTTATTCGTCGTATTCTTTTTCTTCTTCTTATTCGTCGAATTATTTTTCTTCAAATTCTTCGAATTTATTTTCTTCTTCAAATTCTTATTCGTCGAATCTTCTTCTTTTAAATTCTTCTTCTTCTTTTTCTTTTTCTTCTTCGAATTCTTTTTCTTCTTCTTCTTCTTCGAATTCTTCTTATTCGTCGAATTCTTCTTTTTTTAAATTCTTCTTCTTTTTCTTCTTCGAATTCTTCTTCTTCAAATTCTTCTTATTCGTCGAATTCTTCTTCTTCTTCGAATTCTTTGTCTTTTCTTCTTTTTCAAATTCTTTTTCTTCTGCATCTTCGAATTCTTCTGCTTCGAATTCTTCTTCTTCTTCGAATTCTATGTCTTCTTCTTGGAATTCTTCTCGTGATTGGGGGACATCGGTTCATTTTTGCGGCACTGATGTCAGGAATCTTGCTGCGGCTTTGGGAGTTAAGTTGCTAGGGATCAAGTTGGAGTGTCAGCCATCTGCTGTCAGATTCGGCTATGAACGTCTGCAGATTGTAAATGTGGGACAGAAGAGAGACTGAGAGAGAAAGAAAGAAAGAGAGAGTCAGCGAGATATTAAAACAAAATTTTCGTATTTCTAATTAAAAGAAAAATGGGCATTTATGTTTAGAAACCTTAATTTGCAATGGATCGATAATATTCGCAATAAGATCTTAAATTTTACCTTTAACGCTTCCAGGAGCATGTTGTGGGAAGAGTACTATTGAAATTGTTGAAACGTATACATAATGGAAGAGTTCTTTTTTGCTTTGTTCGCTTCACGAGCTTAGGGCCTTTGAATGCTGTCCTGTTTTCATACGGCACGTCGTCCACTTAGGAACTAAGAGTTCACTTGGAGGGGAAACGAGGCACATTTTCCCGCTATGGCAGTGTTTTTCAAACTTTTGTCTTACTTCAGGGCGCACTTTTAGAATAACTAAAACTTTAGGACATACTTTAAATTTTAATAAGGAAAAATTTGTCATGAAATTTGAAAACAAGAAAATAAAGAATTTTCCTGAAATAAACATTTATCTTTAAGACATTACATTGTATACAGAGGGATGCAAAAGTAGGTATACAGTAATGAAAAACAAAACTTATTGTGTTGATTATATAAACTTGTCAGTGCTGGTATAACTTACTGTATACCTATTTTTGCACACTATGTATTTAATATGCTCGTGTGAAACCTATGCTTGAATGTGCAAAGAAAAAAAAAATCACCTTAATTGTTGTCATTTTTCGTTTAACATTCCCAAAGAGGATTAGCGATATAGATTTTATGTAAGGTATTTATGAAAAATCTGCTATTTTATTTTAGAGCGGTCGATAATGACTGGTTAAAATTCCTTGAAGAACGCAAAAGTTAATGATTATCCACTCCTTAAAGATTAAGGAATTTAACATCCAGGTTATAATTTAAAATGACACGGACACTTAGATATGGAAGCCATGTGCTTAGTGTCTCTAACTTTTTAAAAATAAGTATTTTTTAAATATAAAAATAATTTATAAATTACACTTATGTTAACTTGGGGCGCATCTGGCTACCTTTCAGGACGTATTAGTTGGCACGAGGGGACCGGTTGACAAACGCTACCACATGGATTCCTCGTGGGTAAAACAGAAAAGAAATAGGGTTTTTTCTATTCGTCCTCTGATTGTCCAGTTCGCACGACCCGGATTTATTCAAATAATGCCCACCATCAATCGCCTCACTGAATTTTTCTTTCTTTCTTTCTTTCTTTCTTTCTTTCTTTCTTTCTTTCTTTCTTTCTTTCTTCTGTCCCACATTTACAATCTGCAGAAGTTTATAGCCGAATCTGACAGCAGATGGTTGACACTCCAACTTGATCCTTAGCAACTTGATTCCCAAAGCCGCAGCAAGATTCCTGACGCCAGTGCCGCAAAAGTGAACCGATGTCCCCCAATCATGAGGGGAATTCCAAGAAGATGAAGAAGAAATAGAATTCGAAGAAGAAGTAGAAGAAAAAGTTAAAGAAGAATAAGAATAAGAATTGGAAGAATTCGAAGAAGAACTAGAAGAAGAAGAAGAAAAAAAATTCGAAGAATTTGAAGAAGAAGAAGAATTCGAAGAGGAAGAAGATGAAAAAGAAGAAGAAGAAAAGAAGAAGAAAACCAAAACTAAGAAGAAGAAGAGGAAGGAGCGTTCGAAGAAGAATTGGAAGAAGAAGAAGAATTCGAAGAATAAGAATAAGAAGGAGAATTCGAAAAAGAAGAGAAAGTAGAATTCTAAGAAGATTTCAAAAAAGAAGAATTCGAAGAAAAAGAAGGAGAATTCTAAGAAGAAAAAGAATTCGAAGAAGCGTTTCTAATTTAACGAATAATAACACAACAAAAAAATTAATGTAAAAAAATCATTGTGTGAAGAGATGATGGATTTTAATGATTAACCGCGAAGCGAAAAAAATCATTTAAAAAAAAATCATAAACACCATTTATTATTTCATTTAAAAAGATTCCTATTTACAAGAATTTGGAAAAGATATTTTTCATGAGAAAATTAATGAAACATGGTCTATGCATAGCAAGATGATATAAACATACTGACGTTGAAAAAAAAAAAACCAAAAAAACAACAACCCATTCGTTTGTTTTGATTGGTTACCCCGGAAACTTATAAAACCAAGCCTGATTGATTGACGCTAAGTAATATTTGATAAGTTGTTCCTTCTTATGAATACCGTAGCGAAAATATAATGAGTTTCTTGCACGGGTAGCGAAACAGTTTTCAGCACGGAAAAGTAGAATCTCCGTGTCGAGTTCAAATTTTACCCGAGTCCTTTTCATTAACGTCTTGATTTTCCAGCATTACCTTGGGCAGAGATTGAACTCACAACGGCTATGCATACATATTTTTGTCTGAATTTCTGGGATCAGAAATTATCATTATTCACCCTATTTATATTCGGATTTTTTCGTTATTGTTGTTATCACAACGTTTCGGCCGTTGCGTCCTTCATCAGGTGCATATCGATCTGGGTAACCTACAGGGAATACTGAACCGTTTATTTAATTTAGGGGATTAGACTGTTTACGGTCCATTTCATACGGGACAATGGCCTAGTGGATTAAATTGTTGGTTTGAGAATTTGATGACATAGAGATTGTGAGTTCAATTTCTGGTTCAGGCAATGCATACTTGTACTTATTGGAAACAGTCGAGCAAATGACCGAACATTACTAAGTCAAAATAAGTAAAACATCTGTAAACATGATCAGTGGAAAGAGAACATTTTCAAATAAAGGGTTCAGTTCAGAATTCCCTGTAGGTTAACCAGATCAATGTACACCTTAGGAAGGCCGGAGAGCTTAACGGCCAAAACGTTGGAATAACAACAAGAAAGATGAAGACAATGGTCCGAATATAAATAATGTAAATAAGGATACATGTTTTAAATAGTCTGTTGAACAATAGAATTGTGTGTATATATATATATATATATATATATATATATATATATATATATATATATATATATATATATATATTGGAGATTTGCATCTAATATCCATGTCGCATCTGTCTTAAGTATTAAAACCCAGCTGGTGTTTATCATTACGCTGGGTCTACTGAAAACATTGACTAACATAATTGTTGATTCATTCGTTTTATCTTTCAGTGTTGTTTTAGTTGTCTTATGCTGATCATCAATTCAAATTGCTGAATATCGCTCTTTCTGCATTTGTGCACTGCAATTTTTGGTGTCGTAGAATATTGACAGAGTGAAAAGACATTTAAAAATTTGATTAAAAAGGTGCATGGACAAAAAGCATTGAAAATGAATATCTTGAAGCAAACAGCATCCATTAACATTCGCGTTTCTTGCAGTTTAGATTTTCTTTGTTGAAAAAGAAATATATTGACTGCCTTAAAATGTGATATTTGACTCAGTAAATCCAAACCAGAGGTTATTAAAAACGCATTCAAGACAGAAGTGCCTCGTATTGGGAGAAGAATAGTATAATAAAAAAGAAATGAGGCAAGTCATAGAATGTCAAATCATTTTTTTTATGTTTTTGAAGTTCTTTCTTGATACGAACCCAAGAAAATGAATCTTTGCTGAAATGCAACCTTTACCAGCACATAAAATGAATCCCATGAGTTTAGTTCAAATCCCGGGTCTGTATGTTGAATTCAGCTTGACATTATAGCTGTTGCGGAAGGCATGAAACCATTTCTCCTTTCCATAGCTATCGGTTGTATAGCAGATAAATTACACGTATTCTTTATTGCAAAACGGTCAAATTCAGGTTTTATTTCAAAGATTAGTTCATCAGTTGCTAACATTCTCCGTTTACTGTCTTCTAATCTTCCTTCTGTAGAAGCACATTGTTGAATTAATGTTTTAAAAACAAACCCTTCAAGAAGGCTTCAAGAACACCAGAAAGCTGTAACACGAGGGGAAGTAGAAAAATCAGGCGTGGCTGACCACATATGGAGAGAAAAGGGAGATCACCGCCCTCTGTGGGATCATGTTGAGATCATAGACAAGAAATACCATTGAAAAATTCGTAAACTTAAGGAATCAGCACATATGCTAGGCCACAAAAATCTCCTGAGCCGACCAAGCATAGAAATAAATACAATATGGGAACCAGTAATAAGGAGTGCCAGAGAAAAGCAATGATAACAACAAAATCTGGTAAAAACATGCAATGATAACATGCAACGATAACAGCAAAAATTGCAATATGAGCACTTGTAAAAATGGTTGCTGAAGACATTAGGTTTATAATACCCAGAAATTCATATCCAGAGGTCCTCAAGGACACATAGCACAGTGGATAAAGCCGTTGGTTAGATTCAGTGACAGGACCCAAAGAGTGTGAGTTCAATACCCGGTTAAGGCAGTGGAGAACTTTCAGAGGGAAATTAGCAGGAGATAATTGATAACTGACACCCATCAAACATGGCACGTGGAACTAGAACAGTCTACTCCAGTAAGCGAAATAAAGGGTTCAGTTCGACATTCCAACCACCTGAAGAAACGTTGTGATAAATATGGCGACAAAGATGAGGACTATAGTCCAAATAATAAACCCTTTTTTATTTTGTCATTTTATAGAAAAAGGCCTGATGATAATAGTAAATTATAAGTTTTACATACCTTTTCGCTTAAACTGGTTTACATATTAGAGATAACAAGATCAAACAAGTAGAACAATGGAAAGTACTTTGACAGAATACAGAAAGTGTGACACTAAAATCCAAAAGGTGATTGGTGTAGAGAAATATGCATTCCAAGAGTTAACCAAAGTATAAAGAAACAGTAAGAAATCGTTAAAAAAAAAAAAAGAAAAGAGGAGTGAATTTTTACTCAATATCATTCCTTCTAAATTGCAGTGAATGCTGGACAATCTTCTTTCTCAGAGATGAACTTGTAAAAGAAATATGGCTCCAGAAAATGATAAATACCAAAGAAACTGAAAAGATAAAAAAAATTACTAGGGTCTGTGTCGGAGTTTAAAGAAGCTATTGAAGATGAACACGGAACCAATTAATGGGGACACTTGGAACAAAATCTACAGCACTGAAAAAAAAGAGAAAATTGGAATTGAGACAAAATTTGTAACTTACATCAATCTTCATTTACACTCTGAGGATTCGCCGTTCTTGTGTTGCGATGAGTTTTGTTACAAAACCACAGCAATCGGTCGTCAAAGATACCTGGAAACTACAAAAGACTGGATGCAGGTCCGTGTCAAAAAACATGAAAGAAACAATAAAATTTATTCAGTAACAAAGGAAGCCAACAAATTTAAAAGAAAATTTCTAGTGGGTGAAGAAATGCAAATAAACCATAATACACCGACTGCAGCGGCAAAGAACCTAAAAAAAAATCAAGAGAAAATACAATATAACAAAACCAGAAACGTTGGCAAGCTAATCCTCTTCATGGTCCAACTTCAGCCCTAACCAAACTTGTTGATTTATACAACCCAGTACTTATTAATGGTTACTTAGTGCAGGATTAAATGCTGAAACTGAAGGTTTTATTCTTGTTAAACACAACCAACATTTACGAATTAGAATTTACCAAGAACACATAGTGAAGAATTGTGTTGACACCAAATGCAGATTCTGTAATAAATATCCAGAAACGATTCACCATTTCGTATCAGGTTGAACAGGTTTAGCACCAATTGAATATAAAACTCGGCATGATAGATTTGGCCAATATCTGTACTGGAAAATATGTAACGTTCACTGGAAGCAAACTGTAAGAAACTGGTATGAACATTATTCAGGCCTGATTACAGAGATAGGACCTTTAACAATTTTATGGAGCTTTACAATACACACTGACAGAACAATCAAAGCTAATTGCCCAGACATCGTGATAAACGATTATAAACACAGAATGTACTTTCTTATAAACATGGTTGTCCCTGCAGATTGTAATGTATCTTTGGGGATTTTCAAAAAAAAAAAAAAAAAACTATTAAAATACAAGGATCCTGAAGTTGAAATCTCAGAAATTTGGCGCATAAGGACATCCATAATTCCACTTGTAGTTAGAGCTCTTGGGTTGATGTTCTGATAGCCTCCTTGTAGGGATTCCAGGTAACCTATGCCTTAAAGAAATTAAAAAAAAAATTGTATTCAAAAGTACAGCTCAGACATTACGAAAAGCTTTATCTATGTAAAATGTATTTAATCTTCTTTTTTTTCTTTTTTCAAAAATGATCAGCGGAAATGTCATGAATCCTTTTCTGATGTTAAGACTCAAGTTGATCCCCGGCAGGAAATGAAATAATAATAATAATAATAATAATAATAATAATAATAATAATAATAATAGCGTCGATATCTTTAGCTATAAACATAAAATAATCTTTTGAATAAAATTTCTCAAGAAAGAAATATGCCTTTTACATTTTGCAACAGTTTTATGTCTTTCACAAATTCGATTAATGTCCGTTTTTCGACATAATTGGTTTGAATGCATTTGCTACAAACTGCCACATGACATTTTGTTTCAGTTTTATAATATTTCCTGTGAAATAATGTCCACATCATTTTATCTGGAAATCTTGTTGGTTTTTAGTTTGTTTGTTTTTAAGCTCTGACGTATATCCATTTTTTTCCTTTTTTTTATCGTTTTTCTTTTAGCATTTGATTTAAGATTATGAGTTGTTGCCATGATATTGAGATGTGCATCTTTTAAAATTAATATTTTTAAGGACAGTCCTCCTCGATAATAATGAGAACTCTCCATCTTCCGTTTATTTTCCGGCATCGTCATTAATTATTTTTAACTTAAGCTTTTTCTTGTTCTTTCGAATATTTTGAGGCTTTTGTTGCGT